ATCATCATGAATGGATGGAGATGCGTTTCCAGCAAGCTGCAACTTCACTGTGTGCGAAGATGACTTTTGAGGAGACTGAGTGACATTTGCCACTTTTGGAGTGAAATGGCAATGAAAGAGACAGTGAGGAAAACACAAGACAAAGCTGAAGAGAACTGACTGCAAAGTGGGAGAAAAGAACGGAGTGAGAAGAGCAGGTGAGAACACAGAGGAATGCTGTTATTTAGTGTGGGGAATCAAAAATTTGGGTTAGCAATCCTGGGAAAAAGAAAACTGACTGCAGTGGGAAAATCGAGAAGGAGTCTGGACCACAAAAAGATTCTGTTTGTCATCTTGTCCAAGTGATACATAGACTAGTGGACTAATATTATTTTGGAGGAGCTTTTTATTTTGTTACTTTCATAGTGCACTGAAAGTTTTGTTTGATAAAGCAGATCTGAACAATTTGAACAGGAAGAACTACACAACATGTTGTCGGGAACGGTCGCAAGGTGAGTTTCTCGGGAGAAAGTCACTTATTGGGAAAGCGAGTCCCTGTCTAAAAGGATTCACGTGCGGTTGTCTTTGGCTGCGGGCCGTCAAAAGGAGCGCCGTGATCAATGGGTTCATCCTGCGCCTCTAAAGGTTGGCCAGCTGGTGTATCTTCAGGACCACAGTGTCAGAGGCCGGCATAAGCTCCAGGACTTGTGGAGCTCAGTTGTGTACCAGGTGCTGAGGGCACCTCAAGGTTCAAGGTTCTTTATTTGTCACATGCACAGTTATACCAGTATAACACACGGTGAAATGTAACCTGACACACTCCTCGACATGTGCGAAAATGGGGGGGGGTTAGAGGAAGAACATTATATATATGGTATATGGGGGGAGGGGGCTGTTTATACCATTGCCTCTGTAGGAAACGTGGATAAGGTCCGACATGTCTATTGTGACATGCTGAAGGCACAGGTCGTCCAGGGGCTCCTGCACCTTGTTCTAGGGCCCCATCTCCATCTGTGGCTGCTGAGTCAGAGCTGAGCTCCTTAAGTGACGATGATTTATGGCTACTAGTCCCCGAGGTTCCCTCGAAACCTCTTAAACTCTCCTTCCTCAGTTCCTTTAGGAGGCTCTGTTGAACCGTCTGAGGTGAGTGGGCCACCACTGTGGAGAACGGCACGTTCCACAGTTGGTCAGCATTCCAATATTTATCGCTGTCCACATCCTATTGAATCTGAACCCACAACCAATTCTCAGGTTGTTATGTTCAGGTCATGGTGTTAATGTTTTCTTGAACCAATGTGGGGTTACCAGTGCAAAAGGCAGGGGCAGATGTAGCCAGATGGGCTACTCTCCGCTGCTCTCCCTCTCGTTCACTCTTTTGCCTTGCTGTTACGGCCCTGGCCGGCTGGATATTTGTTCTGTGCTATGTCTTTAAGAATCTACAGGCTGCACAACAGTCACAGGTAGGCCATATATTTGTCCTCCTATCCATTGTCTGCATTTAAGCAGTATAGTGGCTCATTCGTGGTCCCGTCTGTAGCATGGCCCATTTATTTTTATTCCAACTATTGTGAAGACAGGTAGCAGCACTACTACCGGCGTTCAACATAGCGTCCTCAATCCTGGAGTAAACACCATTTGGAATTATTTCAGAATTAGCATACTTTACTTTATTAATCCCCAGGGAAATGATGTAAATTTGTTATGACTCCAAATTAGACAAATTATTGTGATTTCCAGGATTTGCTTGCTGCTTGTTACAGCCTCTACTCAGCAGTCCATGTTTCGGCCCAGTCGAGCTGAAGGAAACGCTTGTAGCAGCCGCTGCTTTGGACTCATCCGTGAAGGAACTGCTTTCTCGTCTTGTCAGCTCTGGTCTTGCTTTACTTAGAGTTTTATCTTCTAATATTGTTTATGCTCGTGCCCACGTAGCCAGGCTGGAGGGATCCCTTGCCCGTGCATTGTGCTGGTTGTCATATTTTATTTTTTTATATAACCCACTTCATCAAATCTTTGTCTTTAGTATTTAGTTTATCTCCCCACTAACACAGAGTTAGTCTGTAAATAAAACCCACAAAACAGTTAAAGATTAAAAACTATTTTACACACACACACACACGGTTCATTAGTGTGCTCTGAATGAGTTCTTTCTCGACAGAGAATCTGGACTCTGTGGGAACTTATGCCAGGCTACTTTTTCAGGACTTTAGTCCCACTTTCAGGTGGATCTCTGACTTCCTGTTTGAGAGGAAGCAACAAAAGCAGAAAGCAGCGTGTCATCATCTCTACTAAGACGATGCTGACGACCCTTCACATGAACTGTTTATCACACTGTCCTCTGGCAAGAGGCTGTTGTCTATCACTTCAGTTTCAGAAGAAGCCACTGATCTTAGAGCAGACGTGCAAATATTGTTTTTATTTTAAGAATTTAAGATGCTTCAGTTTAGAAATTTAAAATACACAATTCCACACTTCTAGTGATTTAAAGAATGTGAGCTTTCAATATTCATTCAGATGGTTTCTGACTCTAAATGTTCTTTTGTCATTAGTCAGCTTTTTCTAATGTACTCTACATTTTAAAGGTGTTCAGCTACTTTCCAACTTCTATGTGAACTTTCAACAGTTCTGCACTTTTAGCTGAATGATTTGGTGTATTTCAGCTCATTCAACATTTCTAACTTATCAGTTAGAAATTATTAAATTTCAGCCTACAACATTCATCTATCAGCATCCACACTGCACTTTCTTCAGGAAATCCACTCTTTAGTTTATAAAATACAAATACTGAATTTATTGAATTTGTTTTGGTGTATATGCGAGTGGCATCACCATCATTAGAATACATGTAAGTATACTGTATTGAAATGCCGGTCTCTCACAAGGTAAGGATCTAAATGAATTGTTTGTATCATGTGTGACTGCTTTGTAAAGCTGGGAACTAAAATATCTGAGTCAGGAAATAATTCAGAAATGCCACCTCATTTAAAAAAAAAAAAAAAAAGTAAACAAAGGCTACTAACAATGTAGCACGTACACATTTAGTAACACCTCTTGATGCATTCTCAATCATCCAGGTAAGTAAAACTCCAAAAGTTGATTCTGTTCATCTGCTGCGTCCAGATGAACAGAATCAACTTTTGGAGTTTTAATAAGACCCTTTTTCTTTTCTTTAGTATTTTAATTTTATGGACTTTAAAACATTTCAGAAGCTGTACCATCATTGTACACAAATGTTTGTAGATACCACATGCTGTTTCAATTTACAAATGTGCATTATTCAGAAGTTCACATATTTTACCTTCGGAAAGTGCTTTTGAGGTCAGTGTTACACTGGCTATAGCTGGTGAAGAGCTGACAGGCCACGCAACAGGTGGCTAATGCCTACTACCTATACTCAACTATCAGTTTTTATTATAACACTAAATTCATCACAAGAGAGGCTTAGAGGAGAAATCAGTCGTAGAATTATTTACTGAATATATTGTGTTCACAATCTAGCAGGCTCACATTGTGGTTTATGAGCCATTGTTACTGCATGGCAGTATGCCGCCTGTTAACGAGTGCATTAACAGGCTTCCCCAGAGTAGCAGTTTGATAGCCAGCTCTGTAATTAATATCTTTTTGAAGCATTTGTGGAAAAATGCCACAATGCTACTTCCTGGTCTGACTGACCTATCAGTGGCTCCAACTAAAGTCATGCTGGAGCCACTGATAGGTCGGGATATTAGGAGAGTGGTATCTAATTATGTTGCTTTAATATGTTAAACAAACAATAGACAATGTTAATTTGCTGGTGAGGACAGGGACAATGACGTGAACAGTACATATACTGTGTGGCACATTTAAGATTAAGGACAGATATAAAGATGTTCAAACTAGGGCTGGGTAATATGGCCTAAAATTCATATCGCGATATAAT